GGGGGGGGGGGGGGGGGGGGGGGGGGGGGGGGGGGGGGGGGGGGGGCGGGGGCGGGCGGGGCGGGTTTGACGATCGAGCAGCCCGTCGGTCAGCCCGGGCCCGGCGTTGTGCAGCACGGCTCTCGGCCGTCCTCTGCGACCGGCAAGGTCAGTTGGTCGTGCCGTGCCTGTGCTACCGATGCCGTGTCACATGTTGTGCCTATGCGGTCGATCGAGCTAGTACGTGTTGCTCCCGCTTGTGTGTAGTACCTTACGCTGCACTGGCTGTCGCGTAACGTGGCGTTTCCGCGGGAAGAGAGGAAGGTGGTTTAGCTTGGCGAACGCACCGTCAGGACCGGCACTAGTGACGTGGATTCACCTATGGGCCACGCTCCCGGGGAAGGGGAGCGGTAGGGGTTCGGGCTAGCAGGTTGATGTTCTCCGAGCGAGGCTTTTCGTTTTTGGTGAACGCCGATGGGTCTGCTGTGCTGCGGGCCACATGTATGTGTTGGCACTTGTGGTGCACTCAGGGGTGCATCACAGCTAGTCCAAGTAGCTACTTCTGGAACCGATCTACGAGCATGTACCTGAAGTTTCATTTCCGTTCGTTACTACATCATCGTCTTGACTGCTCAAATGCCACGTCCCTACCTCGCACTGCAGCAGCCAGCCAGCCATCCTGACCGGCCACCTTTCCCTGGCTTTGATCTTGTACCTGAGTTTGCTCGTTAATCGAATGCACGCTGTTCGTTCAACGACTTTGTGATGTTCACCGATAAACGATTAAATGGTTTTCTCGGGCACCCTGCCATGCTGCCAGGGCCAGAAGGGACCTGGAGCGTACATCCCCCACCACGCGTCCCCCGCGGTGGCCGCATCTGCCGCCGCTGCTCGTGAGGCCGCTGCTGCTGGCAACGGGGAGATAATGCCTGCCACGTCGCTCTTCGTGCGCAAGGTAAGTTATGGAGGGAGGGAGGGAGGGTGTGTGACGCAAAGGAAGGGAGGTAAACGTCGTGTGAGTGATGTTGGAGGGTACGGCCACCCGACAAGAGGCCATTCAAACCGCTGTGCGCCAGGTTTATGTTACGTAGCATTCAATCAGCAGCAACGCTAACGTTTTCTTGACCCTCTGCGCGACAACCTCAAGCACGTCACTTTTAAATTGTAGGATTTCTGCGAGCTGACGACTTGCGCCTATTGTGTCTACGTTGTCTCGCGATGATGACGTTCACAAGTCACCTTGACATGGTTCAATTTGTGGTGACTATCACCTCTCATGGACTTGCGACGATAGCAAGGGCATCCGTGATTTGAGGAACATCCCATGATACTAACCCTATGATTGTGTGGCTGGTTGATTGTTATTGGGGGATGCGCTTTTAGGTGGACATGACGATCGACAGGGACGAAATGATCGCTCACTTCTCGGCCTACGGCGAGGTGACGGGCATCAGCATGAACCCTACCCGTGGATACGCCTTCATCGACTATCGAACCAACGAATGCGTGCAGCTCGCGCTCAGGTATGTTCCTTATTTGGACTCCAACGCGCGCAATGAACGAGCGTGCTCACGCTCTGCTTGTTTTTGTTGGCATGAGTGCTGACACCGTTCCGTCAGCATGCCATCCATGTACCCTGTTCCACGTTCATGTTCCGAGCTCCTAGAGAGGCGTAATACGAAGCGTTGCTCTGTCGAGAGAAGAGAGGGGATTGATACGTACATGCATCCGTCTGTTTAGGGTGCGTCGCATGTAGAAGCTTGGAAGCTTGTCTGCGGCTGTGTGTCCTGCGTGCTGCATGGCTTTGACCTTGTCGTAGTTTTTGGTCCTGTCTTTCTTTTCGTCTGTAGTCCTGTGCCTCCCCCCCCCCCTTCCCCCGCACTAAAAACTGCTGCCGCCGATCACTCAATGGGTTGCTGTTTGTGTTTGTGTGTCACAGCACCAAGGAGCACTACGTTAACCGCAAGCTACTAGTTGTTGAGGAGCGCCACTCGCCCATGGTCCAGCGCAACTCGAGGGGAGGTAAGCAATGACGACCGGCCCTCCTTGCCTCTGCCTCTTCTGTCTGTCGCTGTCACTGTCACTCTCACCTATTGTAACTGCTTCTTGCCGGATAAGGTAGAAAAGGGACGGCGAGCTGACTATAGTAGCGTCGAACAAGAACCAGGAAGGTATGCAGCAAGCCCGGGAACTTGACGCATGTACTTCCACAGCGTGCCGTATATGACACAAGATAACACACCCCCTGGACCAATTTTCAAATCTCGATTACTCCACGAAGAGGGTGCATAAACGAAACGGTACATTTACAGAAAGCTCTCGACGAGACAGCTTCGACGCCACCGTTTTCGGCGCGGTGACTCTTTCTGCTGTTGAGAAATCGAGATCTGAAAATCGGTCCAGGAGTGAGTTATCTGCTGTCTTAAACGGTAGCTGCTTTTCTCTGTCCCTCGAGTGGTATACTTGTATACACATTCGGGGCAATGCCCGGCCGGCACAGAACCATGGGTATGTTTCACTTTGCATCCTTGACACGGCAAAGATTTCATCGATTTTTGGTGTTGTCCCTTTTGACATCGTTTTCGTCTTGTCGTGTGACATAGACCACACTCTCCTCTGTTGTGCTGTTGGGTTGTTGGCTTGTTTCACAACTGTTGAACGCAGAACACGGCGGCGGCAGGGGCGGGCGCAACGGGGGCCGCGGGCGTGTGTCAAGCGGCAGGGACGGCAGGTAATTTTTTTATCCGCTGGAATGGGACTGATTTTCGAGAGGGCTGTAGTTGGGCGGGTAAAATTTTTTGACGCTGCGTTGATCTGCGAGTTGAACTACGAAGCAGTGATCGAAACCGGCGCACTGCTTGCAGTCGGTCGCTCCATGTATGTTGCATGCCATTTTCGGGACAAGAACACAGGGGCGTGTCCGTCGCGCTTGGTGCGTTGATTCATGCGGTAACATGCCTCGCTCATGCATCCGTCCTCCTTCTGGACCTCCTTGATCTGATGACACCTCGTTTTAAAATCGTGCGCGTTTTTTTTTTTTTTCTCCGACGATGAATCAAGGGACGGGGACCGGCGTCCCACGGGGAGGGGCGGGCGCGATCGTCCTGATGGCCCCAAGGACGGTGGCTACCGGGCTAGAGGACGGGCAGAGGCCTAGCTGACGCGCGCCGTGTTTTTGAGGGTGTAGGGGCGTGGATGGTCGGAAGGAGGCAGGAAGGAAACAACGCGGCAAGCCAGCCAACGTTTGACAGAAAGTCTTTTCCCTCCAACGCCCGCCAGCTACGCCGGTAAACGTCAAGCGAGCACATGGAAAGTTGTCGAATGATGTGCGTTGAATCGGATGATGCATGGATCTTTGCTTGCATACGGCGGGTGCGCTGCCGGTAGCGAGAGGGGAATAGCATGGCTTGGGTTACGCTGTTGACGATCTGATGCATGTGACACAGAATCTGGTTCTTCGTACCGTTCATGTCGCCTGTCTTGTCTCCAACAAAACGGGAAACACGCCCCGAGCAAGTAAAGACAAGGCAAGCGACTAATTGAAAATTGTTGGTGGAGAGTTGACAGAGACGAGTTTGGCGGCGAGTATTCGGGACAGGACCGGACCGAGATGTTGTGTCTTTTTCCTTTCATGGTCGTGGCGGGCAGGAATTTGTAGTGTAGCGAAGGCGAGACGCCGATCGCCCTTGCCCCTTGTTCATGCGGGGCCTTTCAAGAGACCTCGAAACTTGATCTCCGGCAGTGAACAAGAGGTTGAGGAGGTTTTTAATTGCAGGCATCTGCCAGCCGAGCACACGCTAGAGCTTGTGTTTTTAGAGGCAGGGGGGACCGGGGAAGCGTCTGCGCCTGTCGTGCTGTCCGTTCATGAAGACAATTGGCCGACATCGCGGGAGTCTGTCGAGAAGGACGGGGATTATTAGAAGCGCGTGTTGTGATGTTGGCCTCGGGGATGATGCGAGAGTGCTCGAGACAGCGAGAGAAGGGCGCGCGGGGGGGGTGGGGGTGGGCGTGGTGCGGAAGCGCGGGCGCAAAAAACACAATAGCAGCAGGAAGGACACGAGGCTCTTTTTCGGCGATGAGATATGAAAACTTTTCGTATCTAGTCGGTCGGTCACCCAGTGTAGCGCGGCGTTGGCTACGTGAAGTGTTGTGGAAATATTACAGCGGGTCGAGTCCGTCCGGCATCCAGGGGGGGTAGAGGGAGAATCGGCTTTGATGGGTTTTCCGGCGGAAAGAGAAGAGGCGTTGCTGCTACAAGCTATGTTGATCCGCTTGGACCGTCGACGCTGTGTGTCGCCACATACAAAAATATATGAAGTTATTCCTAGCCGAGAGAGACAAGTGGAGGCAGGGGAGGGCGGGCGGCCAGATGGTGGAGTGGGGGGCAGAAAGGTCAGATTGTGATTGGAATAGATTGAACAAAGAGCATGGTCATGAAACTGATTCAAGTCCAGTAAGATGGGTGTGTATGGTTGGCTTTACTTGCCGTGTGTGCTGTTTTGTGCGGTCAGCCTTTCCTGCCTGTCTCTTTGTGTGTTCTGTCGGCTCAATGCGAGTTTCAAGCCGTTGCATGTTTCAGTACAATCTGTGTGTTGTTGGACAGATAATGGACGTTGTGTTACTACCTGTGATAACTGCCGTTCGATTGGCCCCGTGACGTTCTTGTAGACCTTGACCAGGGCGAGAGCGAAACGGGACAATGAACCTCAGGTTGCTTCAATACTCTGAACTTCCCAATGACAACGCGGACACATGCGTGCACAAGTAACACGCAAGAAAATTGCAGCCGGAAAATTGTGAGCAAGCAGCAGCATTGTGCAGATATATATCTTCTCCAGAGGTTCCATGCAACCATGCGATGGGTCCGAAAAGAGTACGCGTGTAGGACGGTTTGGTGGATGATGCCACATCGAAATGTGCGGAACACGGTCCATCGAGACCACACGCTAGCCCCCACTCATGTCTACATGTCTCATGGAAGGATGATATCCCAAGGAAATATACTTGGAAAGACCGACCGGGTCAAGGCCGGTGGGTGTAACCTACGCAACGGGCCTACGCCGACATTGCCAGGAAACATCCATACCGTGCCGTGAAACGACGTTACTCAACGAAATCGTCGGTTTACCATCACGAAGGAGAAACATATGCTAGCGCTGCCACCTACGAGGACCAAAGACAAAGACAAGACACAAGAGACCACCGAATCACGAACCCCCCCCCCATCCGCCTCCTGTTTTTGCACCAGCAGTCGTCGCTCACTCCATCGTTTTTGCTACGTCAGTGTCTCAAAATACTCGCCGCCTCTCGTGAAACGACACAAGGGCTGCCCACGAAAACACCGAAAAGAGATGGAAGCGCGAACGGCCGTTCTCCCATCTTGTCACGATTGTTACCCGCAACTTGCTTCACAAGACAAGCTTCACAAGACCAAGGCCCTTGCTGGGTTCGTGGCGCCATTCACGCCTTGCGATATCTTGAGGGTACGCAACGGGTACCTCGCTTTTTTGCAATGTCGTGTCTCAACCGCAACCAATTAAGCTCCTTGATTGCTGACACACTGCACACGAACGTCTTCTTACAGCGTACCAACTCTAGCCCTCGCACACAACATGCTGCAGCCTCGTTACAGCCCCCTACTGCGCGCAGACTCATGCCGGTGTCTGGTCCACACACGATGTTGAACCAGTTTTCGGCAACCAGCTGCTCTTCCGGAGAGAATCTGAAGCGGGGCGGACGACACGACGCATCGGTGTCTCCCGTTCGTCCAAACAGCAGTGGTGCGAAAAACAAAAACACGCCATGAACTAAGCTGGCAAGTGGTGCGATCTCTACCCACTACAAGTCATCAGAGATCGACCGAGTTCTTGCTCTCTGAACCTTCTCCAGCGGCCCCTCCTTCCTCCCCCAAGAAGGCTTCGTCGGCTTGTCCCTCCTCGAGCACGCCGCAAGACGTGTCTGCCGCCTCTTGTGCATCGGCAGCCTCTTCACTCGCAGCCAAGGCTTCCAATGTTGGCTCCGTGCTCTGACGCCAAGGGAGCGACGCAAGGTGTGGCAGGAAGTGGCATGCATAGGGGAAAAAAAAAGCAATCATCTCTTCTTCACCAGAGGTAACAAGTAAACAAGAGGCTGCGTGACGACACGGAACACACACGCTACGTTCCCCCGCTGTTACTTCTACAGACGCCCTGCCTAACGTTTGGCGCTTCGGGTGCGTGGAAAAAGCTGGAACGTCTCCCATCCTACACCGGGTGTTGCCAGCACAACCATGTTTTTTCTTCAAATGACGTGCACAAGACGAACACGCATGGTTTCTTGTCTCCAAGAGGGTGAGCGAGTGAAGCGTGGCAGGGTCAGTCGCCAAATTCTTGTCCAACACAACGAGTCTACACCCATCGATTCCTATCTTCTCACCTCGCCATCCCCGCCGATGACCTCCCCAGTCTCCATGAGGTGGTCAAACTTCCTGCCCATCACCCACGCCACCCAGATGAGGAAAGCTGCACCACCAGCGGCGACGGACCCTCCCACGTTAATGAGCCCCGGGATACTTGAACTAAAAGCGTCCGTCACTAAGGATCCACCGGCCTTGGACATCCGTGCCCCGAAGATGTCAATCCAGGACTGCCCAAAACGGGAAACATGGATAAACCTTGTGTGAGGGAGTGAGGGGGGTTGTGGGCGCACCAACGTGATGCATACCTGAGCAGACCGTGGTCTACGACAGGCACAGTAATGTGGATGGTGGATTGGGAGGCGGCCTGTGTAGAGCTGTTTGTGCTGTGCAATGCTCTCATGATATATTTCCGAGTTGTTGAGCGCCACAGAAAAAAGTCAAAAATTCGGATTTACAACAACTACAATTCCCATGTTTCTTGTGCATGCAGCATCATCGCTGCTTGCGTGGTCGCTTCCAGGAGATTGGCGTTGTCCACCTGTCACCTTCCTTCCAGCTGAAAAATCCATGGCATCTCACCTTGCTCTTGAACTTGACAGCGGAGTTGGTGGGTTGGTATAGAATTTCCTTGCAGGGGTTGTTGAGGCTGTACGAGAAGCCCTTGAGCAAGATCAACGCTAAGAACACCACCTGAGACGAGAGGCAACATATTGTGTTCGGGATGGGATCGGACATGCAGGGTTGCCCGAGACAGGAACAAAATTGTTCGCGCTACATGTTTATCAACAAGTCACAAGAAGAAGGAGATCGAGGGGAAACGACATGAAGCACAAGGCCATCTCGAGCGGCGATGAAAGACAAAAGTCAGTAAGCGGTAAAACAGGCTTTGAAAAAAGAAGAGCCACAGAAAACAGTGACAATCGGCAACCGGTTTACATAACGTAGCAAACAAACGCACCGGTTCGAAGTACATCCCGTCGTAACATCGCATCACTCCGTCCTTCGTAGACACATCAATCCTGTTTCCCAGGCATGAATCGACATTCCTCCGATATATGTTACGGTTACACAAATGTACACATTGCGTTAGTGACGCCGCGTGAGACTGGTAGCAAGACCTAACGGACAAGTTTTCGTGCCTGTACTCGCACATGTAGCTACCGCAACACTATCAACCAAATCAAATCAACAACATATCTCCATCTCTCACGTAGAGTTGTGGGAAGGCCATCACCATGATGACCACGGCCAAGCACATGCAGGGGAAAGCGAGGAGCGTCGTCTTGAGGCCTAGGCGACGAATCACCATGGACGTGCCCAGCAGCGAGAAGCCGAACGATATCGTGTTCGTAACCTGCGGCCATTCATCATTCAAGGCACCGCCCGTGAACCGTAGGAGAGAGATAAACGGGGTGAAAGGCCCATACACATGCTTCAATTCAACCCCACTAGGAAAAAAAAGCAAGGCTTCTAGTCTTGTGTCGGTCACCACGTTCGTTCTCGACGTTAGTTGCCATTGAAACGCTGGGTACACCATTCCATACTCCTCTGGCCGAACTGCCTGCACATAGGAAAGGTAGAAGCCACCTTCTGATTTTCTGACGGACCTCATGGACAGGGCAGAGTTTCCAACGCGGGTGGTGCTCCGCGACGCCCTGGAAAGCAGTGCGCAGCATCATTCAGCATTACAACACGTGGCGTGGTGGCCGAAAGCAAAGAAAGTACTGTATTCAGCAGTCCTCGCACACCTGTCCGAACATGCCGGTGAAGGCGACAAAGGCGCGGGTCGCGCTCTCCTGGTCGCCAGGGTAGAGGGCGGCGAACTCATCGTTCGCCAGCTTCTGCTCCACGGCATCGGGAAAAGTATTGAGTGCAACAACAACAACCACGATTTCAGACAATGAAGGTGGAGTGGAGAGGAGGCGGACATGTTGAAGTGAGCCGCGGTAAGAAACACGAAACCGGAACGACAGCCGCGGTAACAAAACACAAGGAACGATTGATTCCTTCCAGTCGGTGGTGATACTCCCCGTGTTAGACTCACTCTCACTTAGAGGATGACAAAAAACGAAAACAAGCAAACGTCCAAGTCCAAGTTGCACCCACGAACGTGTATACATTGCCACAACCTTCGCAAGCGTGCTGGGGACTACGTACCGTCCGTGCTATCATGCCATCTTGACTGAAGCAAATCGCCTTCTGACCTTCATCGTGTAGTCGAGGATGGTCACTTCCACCATGAAGAGGCAGGACATGGCGAAGATGCCCTTGATGTAGTCGTACTTGAGGAAGAGCTGGAATCCTTCCAGCACCCCGGCTCCCTGATCAGCCAAACCAAATCACCGACGGCAGAAAATCGACCGACGACAACCGCCACGTTTTCGACACGCAACGCTGCAAAACGGCTTCATGAAACGAACCATACCATGTGACCGGTGACAGGTGAGTAGCTGTCGCCTTGTATTTGCGTGTAGGCCTGCGGTGCATAGAAGGGACGACATCACGTTACAGCCCTACCGACACCCGGCAAGCATCAACAAAGGCAACACCACCAACGCATCATGTGATGGGCACCACAACCCTTCAAAGGAAGGTAGAGCCCCAAGCAGCAAGAACGATTTCCGCCAATGTGTTCGATACAGCAGTGCAGGGGTGCCAAGGGTCAGGCCTGTTTCTGGTCAAGTCTACACCGCACCGACGATCTGTACCTTTTTCTTGGTGTTGGCCTTCATCAGGGAAGGCTCCACGCCAAACTTTCGCACGTATCCCCATACCATGAGCACCATCAGACCCATGCACAAGGCGCCACACCCGTACAAGCGTGGGAGTCCCCAATCCGCCTGTCAGATATCAGAACGACATGGACGGCGTTGTCATAGATATGCCGCAAGGTGGACCATGGACCATGGAGTAGCGTAGCAGGTCGCATCGACGCGCTGGGTGGCAATCATTACGGCTACAATTGTAGCCATACGGTTGGACGGATGATTCCATGCCTTTTCCATCTTTACAGCAATACTGGTACCATGACTCCATCCACGTAGTCTAACGAATAGGAAGCTTGTCGCTCAGGACATCACGGCAAACACATACCACTATTCACGCCGGCAGAGAACCAACTTGCTCACCACAAAAAACTCCCCAGAGTCAACCCCCCCCCCCCCCC